GCACTCCCACGGTCATGTTTTCTCATAGTGTTAATTTCCAAGGTCGTGGAAACGTGAACGTGGGTTTAGAAGCGGTTTCTAATATTCCTAAAAAAGGGGGCATTAACTTTATTTTTTTGGGGGGTCGAGTTATGGAGCTTTGAAGGGCAAGTTTTGGAGCATTTTTTGAGTTTGGATTAACACTTGGAAACTATTACAAATTATATTTTGTAAGTTTGATTCGTGTTTTCACTAGATTCTAGACTTTGTTCTTGATTTATTCATGTGTGGCTAAATCCTTTCTATCTCCGGTTTTATGGATGATTGATGTTATGCCTTTTTAATTCAATGACATAAAGTTATGTTTAATCATCTATGTAGCAATTTTAGTTTTTTCTAAGAAAGAGTTTGATTTCAATTTTGGTTCATGGTGGCCACTTGAATTATAATTAGGTCATTCTTGTCATTCAATTTTATAAAATTTGTAATTGTTTTGTGAAATTGATATTAAGTGACAACATCAAATTAGTTTTGTGTTGATATTAACTTTAGTGTAAACTATAACTGCATATATTTATGCTTCTGAGCGTATGAGAAGTATTGGACATTGTTGGGAACATTCACATATAACTTAATGCAATCTTTCAATCTAATTCTAAGAGCTTTTTTAGATTAGATTAGTAAGGTTAAGATTAATTAAAGAGGATATTTTATTTAATAAATATGGAGAATGGGAGTTGCTAGATCTTGTTAGCGATTCCGAGTACCAACTTAGATAGAGTGAATATGACATTATTTCATGATTAATATAGCATAACCACATAGTAAAACATAGGACCGTAATCTCTTCTCTTTATTGAATTCATTTACTAGTTTTCCATGTGTTTAGTCGTTTTAATTGATCAAACAACCCCCCTCCCCCTATTTTTCATTGCAATTCGTCTTGTGCAAAAATATAATCATTTTATAATTATTCGCATGTCTCTGTTGACCGAATCTACTTGCTTTGTTTTATATTTTAATTACAGTTTGGTAGTGAATTTTCGAGTACATTGTACCCCTTTATTCGTTAGGTTTGACTACTTAACAGTTTGCCTCATTGATTAGTCTCCACCTCTAGAAACCTTCCAACTTTAAAATCCTAGCATCTGTTCTTCCTCATTGTGCCTCAGTGGTGTTTTGGTAACCTTTGGTGAAGAAGCAAGTGGATTTTGTACTCAAGAGGCTAAATCCAGAGCATATTCAGCCTTCTAACCTCCTTCTGGACCTTTGTAAGTCATCAAGTTCATGATTTTATGTGTTTTGCTTAGTAGATTTTGGATTATGAACATGTTTTAGTCCCCTTACTAATATTTGGGTGGAGTTCGAAAAAATCGAGGGCTAAAGGTTGTATTTGATGGTTCTATGGAACCTTTATGGTGGAAAGAAGTGATTGTCATCAAGCCTTTTGAGCCATGTATGAAGATTGTAGCATATTGGTCCCATTTTAGACTTAGGATAGAGAATAGTGTGTTTGAGGCATGCAAATTGATAAAACTGGAAAGTTTATCCATTAAGTCATTATTTTGATGTGATCTATAAAGTTGGAGCCTGAAACTTAAGGGATTAAATGTTTAATAAAAGAAGTAATCCGCCTTGAAGATCACGACGCGACCAAGGAAGTTTGGTGTCACGAATATGGGTATGATTGAAGGATCTTGTATGCTCAGGAATCATATTAAGGTGATATTGTTAATTAACATATGATACTAATGGATCACACTAACAACAAACTTGATACAATTGATTATTTATTAGAAATTGATTTTAACAAATATTCAATAAAATCTTATAATTAATTGGAAATTATTTATTTCATGGAAATAATAAGTAACATATTATTTCATACGATATGAATTAATAAGTCATGCACAACCTTTTGGACTTGCTAAATCCTTTTTGTCTTTTACATAAAGACAAAGTTTATATTTTATAAACTTAGGTTTATAAAATACAAAAAATTTCTTCTCTTTTTTATTACCAAAATTGTAGCTTCTTTAGGTGTAAAGAAGTTATGGTCTTTTTATTAAAATAAGGAAAATAAGGCATGGGTTGAAAGCATGGGGAGACAAGTAGCCTTATGTGCATGAAGTGCTTAATGGGTTAAGGACTTGTGGGTAATGTTCTTGTTTTATGAAGGGTTTAGAGGCTTTCATTTTGGGGACACACTCTTGCATGCATTTTGGCCAAAATCCTCTCACTCATACTCTCTCTTATTCTTTCATGCAAAGAGCTTATGAGTTGGTTACTTGCTTACTCTCTTGGAGATAATACTTGGGTTTTATTCTTCAAGCTTAAGAAGTTATAAAAGAACTAGCATTCTACGTCAAGCTGAGTCATTGTTGGTGTATCTAAAATTCATCATTCTTCATCAACTTCCAAGCCTCCCAAGAGGACTCAAAGAGCTACAAAGGTTGTTATTTATTCATCACTTCTTTGGTTTGGTGTTTTAATCTTTCCATAACTTGCTAGATGATCCTTGGTGGGTTGTAACTAACTTATTAAGTTCGAAATTTAAAGACTTACGCTTGCCATATTTATGAGTTTTATGAAACTAATTTTGAACTAAAACCCAACAATGATGTCGTGATTGTTTTGTCGCCTGGTGGTCGTGGTGTGTTGACATGTTTGACCGTTGACTTTGACCAGTTGGCCATTAATCGTTGGCTTTAAACAGCTCATCGTTGACCATTTACTTTTGACCAATTTGACCTTTGGTCAAACTTTGAACGTTACAAGTTTCGAACGAAGGATCGGTCCCTGTATAATATTAGGTGGTTTGTGTTGTTAAATTCGTCGGTGGACTTCCATGTGAGGTTTGTGGTTGATCAGCTAACTCCAGGTGAGTTTTCTCACTATATTATGTGTGATATTGTATATCCTTTGTATGATAGGATATATATATATATATATATATATATATATATATATATATATATATATATATATATATATATATTGTTAGGGTACGGGTACTCTAGTAAACCATGTAGTTTTCGTTATGTATGTGATTGATTGATTGTATAATACTTTTATGTGTCATGATGGGGTGAGTATTGGTAGTATTGATTAATTGCTAAGTAAATACCTTAAGGATTGTATGTAGTTTAAATTGGATAGTCTGAGAACTCTGGTATATGCCTTATTATATGGTTCTTGTTTGATTGATACTCTTGGGTAGGATCATTTGCTCGACTGTCTATCCTATTTATTAGCTACGTATGATTATGCATTCAAAAGGTGACTTGTCAATATTAGTAATAGCATCGGTATGGTTGTGGGGCGTCTGAGAGTCGGTGGTTGTATGGCAGCTAGGAGCCGGTGGCTGAGAGCCTGTAGAGGTATGAGGGCAAAGTGCCTATGGTTGATATGTTATGTTAGTGGTTTGGTTAGAGCTGAGAGCATCTGTTTGTATGCATTGTATGTATAATGGAATGTGTGGTACACTGGGGAACTCACTAAGCTTTGTGTTTACGTTGTTAAGTTAAATGTTTTTCAGGTTGTTCGAGGGAAGGGTGTGACATGAATGTACATTCACATCGAAGTTTTATTTTTTATTCGACTTTTGATGGTTTTGTAATTTAACTAAGTTTAAATCTTATGCGTTCGAAACAATGAATAATATAACATGTTTTCAAGAATGAGTTTCGAATGTTTAATATGGTTTTTAACTGAAAATTTTGATTTGAAATTTGGGACGTTACACACTAAGACTAAGTGGAGTGGGATACGTCAAGGGGGCTTGCCAAGCTCGTTGCAAATCGTCCCTTGGCTTGCGCCAAGGGTCGTTGCCAAGGACAATGTGTCAGTTCACTAGCGAGAGGAGAAAGGAAAGAGAGAGGGAGAAAAGGTGGAGAAAGGGTGTCTGGGTGGGTTGTGATTTTTATTCTTGTTTTATTCTTTTTTTTTTCTTTCAAAATCAATGTCAAACTCATCACCACTCCCCTCTAGTTTAAATATATGTATTTTTAGAAGAAAAAAATAAAATAAAAGAACCAATTGACTATACGCATAAGACTAAACGGTGTGGGAGGGTTTTGCCATTGACAAAAGCCTATCTGGCACTTTTGTTGGCGGTAAACACCACACCCCAACCCTTTTTTTGCCGGTGGTAAATCTCAATGGTAAACTTCCACCGATAACAAATATCAATGGTAAACCATTTTTTATTTCTTGATTGGTCATTGCAATTTTTTTTTAACATAAATATCACTATTATACCATCCGTAAAAAAACACCACACTCTAATCATAGGCAAAGCGTGATAAAATTTGTAAAAACTTATATTACACCTATGTGACACTATTTTACTGTTGGCAAAAAAACCACTACACCCTTTAACCTAAGACTTCGGCCAACCCAACACATCAAAGTGACGTGTTCATATCACTCTCAGGTTTAGCATTGGTATAATATTTTTTGTTTATTTTAAAATAAATTTTAATATTTTTAAATTACACTAAATTTTATAATTTTTTTCATTTTAAATAGAGAATAATGTTGGTATACTTTTTTTATAATAATAAAAATTGATTTGGTTGGTTGTATATATAAAGAAATTTTTTTTTTTTTAATGTTCTGTTTGGTTAGTTACAGGTAAAACATACCCGAAATGGATCATTTACTTGAAAATGACACCTTTAATTTGAACATTTACAAATAATATTGTCATTTCATTTGTTATAGACTTATAGACATGCAAAAAATACATCAAAAATATCATAACCATGCATAGAAGACTGAAATTTCCTATGTAAGATTAAAATTTCACACATTACTCCAATCACAATGGCCTAGCCGTTGAGATGTAGAATTAATAAAAGATCGTCAACAAGTTAGACCTGACATGCCAATAGTATTATAGGCATCCAATGATTTTGAACGTGATTGAATTCTGGAAAGAATTGAAAACAATATGGAATCAATAAATTCATTCATGAATCTTCTACATGATCAAAATTTGAGTAATTTGTAAGAACAACATACACACACACACACAGACACACACATTCTAAACATGAATCTTTTACAGCAAACAGGTGAATGAATAATGAGCAATAGTTTACAGTTGGTTAAGCCGAGGCTAATAACCAAAACATAACATGAGAAGATATGGCAATAAAGAACCAGGTGATGAACGCCATGGCAATTGAGATCTCAAATCTGGTACATGGAAGATGCATTTTAGTGTTTGTGCAGAAATGTAAGTCTCTTGCATATAGCACCACAATCCCTGCTGATGAACAAGAAGCAGCTAGAGACAAAGTAGCTGTCACCTGCATGCATTTTACATATAAAGTTACAAAGTTTTTACAATTCAGAAAGTTATTAACAAGAAATTGATGATAAACATTTTGTTGTATGAATGAAAAGTGAAAAGATGTATAATATATACATACCCAATCGCCCACGACAAACAAGCTGACTAGGACAGCATTTTGAAGGTCTTTCTTGATTCTAAGAGCGTAAAAATCAAGACATGCTAAGCCAAAACTCCACAACACTTGAAGCCCCATTGATGCAATTAAATAGCTGCACCAGAATATGATTATATATTGATCAGATAAAAGGATTATAACTATCAGGTTATTTAAGGCACGAAACAAAAGAAGAAGAAAAAAAAAATCAAGGAATATATGTCTATTTATTACTTGTTTCCTATTAAGCTTTGATATCCAAATTCTGAAATCTTGTTGCTCCAGAAAAGGAGTCCAAGTTAGTGCAAAAATGACCAGACACTCAAATCCCTCTTACTCTAATTGTGGGGTGAAGGAGTAATTTGTTAGCCCTAACCCTAACCCTAAGCTTAACCAAAATAGTAGTGTATCCTTATTCTAAATCTGAATCGGGGAAAAGTCAAAAGCATGTTTAGTACAGTAATTAATCCTTTCAAGATTTTACATCTACAAATCGACTATGGAAGCATCAGCTGTTTAAGCAAATCATGTGATGTTACGTGAATTAAAAGTTAAAACACAAACAAACAGCATACCAGAATGCAGTATAGTTAGAAAAGCCGGAAGCCGAAACCATCCACCCAATCGAAGCAGCAGCACATAAACATTGGCCAATTCGTAACATCAAACCACTCACACTTCCAGGGCTTCCAAACATATCCTTCATGTCTCTCTGGGACTGGGGCCCTTCTTTTCACCAGATCAAAAGGGCCCAAATTCCAGCCCTAGATTCCAAAATACCTCACCATATGAATATGAATAGATCTTAGCATGAAAATTGAATGCAAAAGCAAACTCAATTACTGGGTCTGGGGGTATATTTAGCTCCAAGAATCGATTGAAGATGAGGATTTGGGGTTAATTGAGTGTTGATAATGAAAGGTGTGTGTGGGGCGGGTTCAGTGACAGAAAAGTGGAAGGTACCGAAGCTGATTAGCAGTTTGGTCGGAACATTGGCATCCCGATTTGTTCGAGTAATCCAGGCCACGTGGATTTTATTTTAGTTTTAATTTTCTTTCTATTCCGCTCATTTATCGTAATTTTACCTCTTGTGGTTTGCAGTGGTTGGAATATTCTCACCTAACGCTTCTTTATGTCTTTTATCTATTAATGTATATTCTACAGATCATTAAAAATCATTTTTTAACTTAATTTAATCATATCTCTAAATATAATTAAAAGAGAACCTTTAATTCTAACTTAAAACAATCAGGGCTATTGATTGCATTTTAATCTTATATTCTCCACCCTTGAGTTTATTTGCTGACATCATACTTGACTAGGGTATTGGTCAAACACCGTTACATAATTGTCTTCTTTTGTTCGTCTCTCTCTCTCTCTCTCTCTCTCTCTCTCTCTCTCTCTCTCTCCAATCGTAACCTAAAGAAACAGAGAAACTATTCCCGTCAACTTCAATCTTCTTCATCAATCTTAGATTTTAGGGTTTCACGTCTAGCAAGGCAACGATGTGAATATAGTCCTTATCGGGAACAAAACTGATCTTGTTGACAAAAGGTGCGCATGGCATTCTTTTTAATTAGATGAACCAGTTTCCCTTGTTCATTAAGAATTTTGGTGGTCAAACAGACAAGTAATAATAGAAGAAGGGGCAATAAAGCTCGCAATTTCGGGGCCATGTTTGTAGAAACCAATGCAAAAGATGGATTTAACATCAAGGTAATGTAATCACGATCTTATTAATTTGCAGTATGTTTTCTGACATGTCCTTTTGTTTGCTTCTGAATTTTATGAGGATCGTATTCTTTCTTGAAGGTTTGCTATAACTGTGAGTGCAATTTTACCTTAGTCCACTGAAATTTGAATTTAGGGCATACTGATTGGATTCTGTTTTCAGAAACGGACTTTTATGTTAATTTGATGATTGAGATGAACTGAAACTACATAATTTTATGATTTGTAGACAAGTACCTTCTGTTTTCTTCTGATATCATAATTTAGGGCTTTGATGATTGGTATGAACTTACATAAATTACTTCATAATAGTTGTGGTAGATGTTTTTTCATTTTCCATCTCTTAAATCAAAGATTTCTAATTACATAAAAATTACTAATTGACAATGGATATGGGAAATGTTCATGCTTGATCTTACCATGTGATGTCAAGATGCAAAGAACATAACATTATTATCTAATCTTTGATTTACGAATTCTTCTCAGGTATGTTTTTATAACTTATGACTCTTGATAATTGTCACACCCCTAAACCAGGATGGCGGAAACGTTCAGGGTGGTTGACGTCATGCGTAGTATCACAACAATTGTATAGCAAGCATAGTAAACACAACCAAACATCGAATACAAATATGAAAATTGTTTACATCAGTTTGAAACTTGTTTTAAATACATCAAAAGTATGTAAAATATAGAAAACATGACTCTTATTGCTCCGGCTCCTCTAAATCCAAGAAGTACCAGTCTACTGATTCCTTGAGAATACAAGCAGTTTGAAAGAATATCAGCATAAAGCTGGTGAGTTCATAAGCTTTTAGTTTTGGTGGAAAAGTGTTCTTTGAATCCTTTTGAAAAGTGTTCCTCAAGAAAATCCTATATTTTCTTATGAAAAGGGTGTTTGAAAACCCATTCCTTCCACGACTTCCAGATACATACAAGATATGTACAATCCAAGGAGTCGTGGAATGAATATGAATATCCGTTAGTTTCAAGTTAAACAAATCGTTTATGAAAAGCCGAGTTATCCCGGGAAAATCCTATATCTTCCCTAAAAGTTGGTTGTTGGTTATACGTTCAAAAATGAAGTGTACAAGTATCTACCATGCTTATATCGTTAAACGCAGTTTCTTTGAAAAACCCTGGTTACTTCCAGTGAGGTATATTAGCCTTATTACACAAATAAAACTAATAAAAACGTGGTGAACTAAATCCTGAAGGTATTATTAATACCCTCTAGTAATCAAATCGGTTATTACTTTGAGGTTAGTCCACTTGATTCATTATTACAAAAGTAAATCCCTGTTATCTACATTGTGAGTTTCATAACCATACATTAACTTGATATGGCACGTATAGGGCCAGTATCCTTTATGACTTTGTCACCCGTAGACCTGCCGGTCCAACTGTAGCTAGCAGCGAGGTGCGGGATAGTCAGACCCGTATAGATCTATACACAACAGTCACGCTCTCCCTACAAGAGATTTTGGTTACAAGTGCTAGTCCTACACTCTGATTATGTGGGACTGTTACCAAGGACGTGTCTCCAACTTAGACTAACAAATTTACAAGTAATAATACAGAAAATCCTTTTATGATTAACATAAATCCTTTATAAAATAATATATGGTTCACAAGTTCATTGCTCTAGTTTTGAAAGCTGTTTCTACGAGTTGATTTGTTAATCTTTTGGTAAAACTGATTTTCGTGTTAAAAGCATTCTGAAAATATAATTATCTTAAACAGAATAATATATTTTGAGCACAAGTTTCCTTGTACTTTTGCTTGTATTCCCCCCTGAAAACGTTAAAACTCGGAAAAGTGTAGGGGTATGAACTCACCTCGGGTAATTGGTTTGATTGAAGGATCGATACGGAAAGCCGGATGTTCAAGTGAAGCCTTGAACACGATTTGATCCTAATAAACATGCAAGGACAAATAAAGGAGTCAAATGAAGGTATTTCACCACTAGATGTGATGGAGAGCCATTCTAGGGACTTGGAACTACTTGCACTAAGTGTTAGGACCTTAAAGGATTGCATGAGGGAGGTGTATGGCCACCTTAAAGGTGTGTGCGGCCATGGGTGTGCGGCCCAAGAGGTGTGCGGCCGTACACTCATGATGAGAGGTGTTTTTGTGGTGTTTTCAAGGTCCATACTTGCATCCATGAAGTGTTCTAGGTCCATACTTAGTTGTAGTACAAGTTTAGGGTCCTAAAAATGGATTTGTGGTCCTAGAATGTGTGTGTGGTCGCACACTTGGGTGTGTGGCCGCACACTTGGGTGTGTGGACGCACACTTGGGTGTGTGGTCGTACACCCAACAAGATAATGTCCAAAATGCCAATTCCAAGGTGCAACAAGGCTAGGGTCATGTCTATCTCGAGTTTGGAAGTCAAACTCTCACTTTGGAGGGTGTTTTAAGGGTGTGCGGCCACCTTAAGAGGGTGTGCGGCCGCACTCACTTCCAAACACGAAAAACATGTCGATTTTTGTACACTTAAGGCTTAGATAGAGTGGTATTTCATGGTTTGCAAGCTAGAGGATGAATTACTCACGTTTTTGAAGCTTTGGAGGGTTTGTGGTTGAAGAAGCTTGAGAGAAATGGTGTTGTGTGCTGCCAAGGTGTTAAAGGAATGAAAGGTAAGGGGTCTATCCTTTATATAGGAGTGAGTGTGCTGTCTAAAGGTGAGTGTGCTGCCAGGAGGTGTGTGTGCGGCCGCACACCCATGTGTAGGACCGTACACTCCCTCTAAGGGTGTGCATGGTCTTGTTTTGATAGTATACGACTTGCTGACTCATTCCTAAACTCAACCTTGGTCATACTCAAGCTTAGAATCACTTAAACGAACCCTCAAACAGTGCAAGAAGTCAACATAACAAGTTTAACATTGATTGAATTGGCTAAGTGTACAAGATAAAAGTTTCGGGTTGTCACATCATCCCCCCGTTAGAGGGAATTTTGTCCCGAAATTCGAGAACAAAGTACAATCATGAACTTGGAAAAAGATGAGGGTACTTCTGCTTCATCGAATCCCCGCGCTCCCAAGTGAATTCGGGACCCCGCTTGGCATTCCAACGGACCTTCACTATTGGGATGCGACTCTGCTTCGTACTTTTGACCTCTCGGTCCATGATTTCGACAGGTTCTTCCACAAAACGTAGACTTTCGTCCAGATCGATCTCGTCGAGAGGAATCGCAAGTGTCTCGTCGGACAGACACTTATTTAGGTTCGACACGTGGAAGACAGGATGGACATTGCTGAGTTCTCGAGGTAACTGAAGTTTATATGCTACGGGACCGATCCTAGCCAGGATCTCGAATGGCCCAATGTACCTTGGGTTTAGCTTTTCACGTTTTTCGAAACGTATCATGCCTTTCCATGGTGAGACCTTCAAGAGGACACGGTCACCAACTTGGAATTCCAAGGGTTTTCGTCTCTTATCGGCATAGCTCTTTTGTCTATCACGTGAGGCTTTCAGTCGTTCTCAGATTTGTACGATCTTTTCAGTCGTCTCTCGGATTATCTCAGGACCAGTGAGAGTGTTGTCAGGGACTTGACCCTTGGCTAGCTGCGTGTCACCCACTTCAGCCCAGCACATAGGGGATTTGCACTTACGGCCATAGAGGGCTTCAAATGGCGCAGTCTTGATGCTGGTATGGTAGCTTGTCACACCCCCAAACCAAGGATGGCGGAAACGTCCGGGGGTGGAGGACTTCATGTATAGTATCACAACAACGAGTATAATAGTGCTCAAAGTAAATACAACCATCATAAATATAATTGAAAAAGTTACACCAAAGTATATGTTTACATGTTTCAAATCAATTACATTATGATGACAAAATAAACTGTTTGACGATTTAACGTCCCATCCTTAAAATGCTGTTGATTTTCCTGTTTCACTGATTTCCTGAGAATACAAGTAGTTTTGAAAAAGTGTCAACAATTAAGTTGGTGAGTTCATAAGAGTTTTGTTTGAGGAAGAAACCGTTGTTCTTGTAAAAGCGATAGAGTTTGATTTCCAGAAAATCCAATATTTTCTTAGTTAAGTGCGAAAAGAATGTTCCTATGTTATGTGATAATGAACCCTAGAAAGACCCATAGATTCCTTCTATAATCGCCCAGCGTATATAAGTTATATAAGATTTAAGTTAAATAAACCGTTGAATATAATGGGTCTGCCCTAGGTCCACAACCAAACAAGGAACAGGAGATGAGGCGGGCCCACCAATTCTAAGTCGATTGTGACTAGATTCTTATATAACTCTAGCA